GCATATCTAAGCAGATATATTTGTTGCAGGTACCAGTAAAAAAATAGGGCCTAAAAATGCTTCTGAGAGAAACATGTTTTCAGGTGTTGCAGCCACTGAGAAGCAATACTAAATGAGATACCCAGGGCTCACACTATCCAGGGGGAGCTATGAGGGGAAGGCTGCTGTGGACTCAGATTTTATAGTGTTTTTGCCTTTTGAAAGGCACATACTGCAAATAAATGGACACTCAAATGAAAAATTGATGGTTCTTCCCTTTATCCTCACTTATAGGATTACCTAGCATGTCAAGAGGGCAAGCAGAGCATATTTTGAGCACTGAGAACTGTCTTCCCCAAGATATTTTCAGGAATTGTTGCTATTATTCCCCACATCACAATCAGGAAAAAAATACAATCACTCAACTTATTAACAATACCAAACAACTTTGTTTTGTGATTGCCTCCTTTGTGGTAACTCAAATCCCAGATCTGTGTCCGCACTCAAAGAAAAGTGGGACTTCACCTTTCCCATTTCTGAGTAGTCTCTTCTTCTTTCCTTATGCTGGCCTTGAAAACCTAGGTGATCTTTCAGAAAGTTTAAAGAAGCCCAGGTGAACCTTCTTAAAGGTGCCTCAAAGTCATTAATGCCTAGCTGACCATGCCCTGGTCTTTTAACTCTCCCAGCATTTCCCAAAAGCAGTCTGTTTATCTTGTAGGCAGCAGATTACCTGTTCTTGCAGTGCACTCTATTCCTGGAGATGAGCTAACACCTAATTCCCCCCCCACAGCACCCAGCCAAAGAAGAGGAAAATGAGTTCTTCTCCAATTATTGTGAAAGAAATCTTATACTCATTTGAACTTTAATTAAATTTTATCCAGACATTGTCTTCCCCTTTTTCTATTAGACAATTTTCTCAGTTTCCTGGAAGGGTCCCAGAGTCTGTGGTCTTTCTGCTATTTTTACCTGTAATTTATAAAAAACTGTGAACAGAAATAAATTATCAGCAGCAAGAGGTTGCCTTGGGTCTGTTTGAGCTGGAGCTCACTTTGACACTTCTACCCTCCCTGAGCTGTGCCGTGCTGGTACTTAGGAAGGTGCTGCTCACATCCCAGTGCTTTGGCTCTGCCTGAGCAGTGCTGGCACTGCAGCAATGCTGCCTCTCCAGCATTCCCCCCTTGCCTGTGGGCTGGGAGTGAGCAAAATCTTGGCAGGGGCCATTGACAGGACAGCAGATCCAACTGACCAAAGGGCTATTCCATGTCATTCTGATGTCTGCTCAGCAAGGAAAACTAAGAGAAAGGAGGATGCAGGAGGCATTTGTTATGACAGTGTTTGTTTTCTGTGGTAATTGCTGTGCCTGCTGAGGCCCTGCTTCCTGGGTATTGGCTGGCCAACACCTGCTGACGGGAAGTAGAGAATAAGTATTTTTCCTCTGCTTTCATGCACAATCTTTTTTTTTTTTTTTTTTTTAATTAAACTGCCATTATCTTGTGCCACAGGTTTTTTTCTATCTTATTTTGTCCTTCCCTCCTCATCCTGCTGAAGATGAGGGAGGGATGGAGTAGCTTAGTAGGCAGCTGGGATCCATCCAAAAACAGGACTCTCAAGGTGGGAAGGCTGCTCTCACCATAGTTTAATGTGACAATTCTGAGAGATTAATACTAGGCAGCTTTTCCTTTCTCTAGAACTTACTGGAGGGCAATTCAGACCTGGGCCCTAAGCCAGGTGAACTTTCTGCATGTTTCACACACTGAACTTGTGGCAGAAATGTTGGAAAGCTTTAGAATGAGCTGATGCCTTTGGAAAGTACCTGGAGTCATAAACTGATATGTTTTCTCCATTAGGCTTCCCAGAAATACAACAGAGGTAAGCTTTTGGTAGAGAATAAACAAGAGAAAGAGAGAGAGGCCAAATTTCCCTCCTGATCCGCAAGTCCAGTGTGATGATTAACTTCAAGTGAAATAGTCTTAACTGTAGAGAAAAACAATTATTGCTCAACAGAATACTTAGAACTGTTCTCTCTGGTTTAACACTGCATATAAAGCAAAGAAAACCTGAAAGAAAAATGTTTTGTGAGTGATTTGCTACATGGTTTTGCCTGATTCCCTAAGCCCTAGGGACAGAGAATGAGACATCTCATACTTCAAACCTCACACAGTTGTAGGATGATTCCTCTCCTTCCATGGAACTGGAGTCATACCACATAAAACAGGGCAGCTGAATTGCCTCTAGCAATTTGCCATAATAAAGGATCACACAACTACCATCATATGAGAACATCTCCACTGGCCATGAATCTGACAGTTTGCCTGGCTTGCAAGAGCCTAGCATTCAGAGAAGCAGAGTCCTAAGGCTAAGGAAGGACACCAAATGAGTAGCCCTCTTTGGACTAGCATCTGCTTCCCAGAAACTTTCTTTCTCTCCTTTACACTGTATATTCTTTCATAATATGCTCTCAGCAACTGCTGAACTAATCAAAGTAATCTCTCTGCAAAGGCATGTACATCAACACGAAATCTAATGAAGCAGGAAGACAGCTTCTATAATGTCTAACTTACTTTAAAAGATATATATTTATTCTGTGATTTGATTACTCTGCCAATCATATTACGGGCTCCCCTAAACTGCCAAAAAAGTTGGTGCTTCCAGATTAACTGGAAACAAAGTATTTTCAGTGCATTAACTCATTGTTAAGATAAGAGGAAATAAGGAAGAAAAAGTGTCATTTGTCTTCCAGGGAAAAGGAGAACTTTATGTACAAGCTGTGTGTAAACAGATTGAGTGTTGGCATTGTCCAAAACTAAGACATAAAGCAGACAACCAAGAGGATCTAAGCAATGAAAATGAGAATGTCAAGTCAAAGATCACATCTGATCTAGTATTTATGCTTGTCTTGAAGATTGCATGTCTGAAACTTTGTCTTATCAGTTTGACAAGATCAGGATGTAACTGCGCAACTCCTTTGCGTACAGAGTTCACCCATGGGGGACCTACCATTGCCTCATTCCTCTGCACGTCGATCATTTCTGTACTTTCTGCTCTACTCCTCGACAAACTTCATTTGAAGATAGTACAAGCCTTTGCCATTTCACATGGTGCTTTCTGTAATGACATCTCCTGACTAGTAGTAAAATGCTAAATTTTTTTCCGAAAAGGTCCTGTCCCCCAAAATGTCCATTGTTTGCTGCAGCATCCTTATGGTGCAAGCACTGTGCATGCACAGAGGGGTGGATTTGGAGTTCACATTAACAGTCTTTTGAAGTTTGTACATTAATGTCACATCCACCATTGCCCTGATATTCATGTGTCTGATGTTACACAGAGAGAAGGGAAGAGCACACTCTACAAAGTGACCACAGAATCTCAAACACTGGCAAAGGTGAAACTAGTCAGTGGATCAGCCACCTCTGGGTGCAGTTCTGCCACAGCTGGTTTAAATCTGGCTTGGTTGCATCTACTAACACTACAGGGCAGGGACACTTGATGAAATCTCTCTGCCTTTCACAATGGACCTGCTAATAATTATTCTTAGGGTGTCATGGTTTGAGAACCTGTAGAGTCTAAGAAGTGTCTCTGCTGGTTAATGTTCAGTGGCCTGGTGACAACAAGGATTGTTTCCCTCCTTAAATGAGTGTCAAAAGGATTGCTTCCCTCCTTAAATGACCATTAAGGGAAACTATAGGTGAGTGCCTTTCATGAGAGGCACAGCTACCATTCACACAAATAAATGCAATCCTTCAGTTTATCGTTAGGTACTGCAGGCGTTCATTTAAGGAAAGGTACATGTGCAGAGAGCTGGGGGAATGCAGTTCCCACCATTACTAACACAGCCTTCTCACAAAGGCTTTCCAGTAACAGTTCACACTATCTATTTTTAATACCAGCTGCAGTGAAGCTAATAGCTTGCATCAGGGTCATTTGGACAGTGGGTGGAAGGCCTAAACTCTGTGATACTTAGGCTGCAGTATCTGCTAGAAGAGTTTTTACACACTCACACACTGTGCCTCTGTTGCAATTAAACTTCACTTTACAACAGTAATGGGCCTTCAACTAGGAATTCAGCCATTCATGTCTTTGCACAGTGGAATGTAAAGCCAGATTTGTGTGAATGAGAATCTGTTCATGTGTACTTTACCTAAACACAACTGAAAAGAAAGCAGGCGACTCCTGAAACAGGTGGATATTTGCTGTTTTCCTTACCTAAGGTATTTGTGCGGGGTTTTTTGTTTTGGTTTGTTTTGTTTGTTTTTAACTAAAGAGCAGAAAAGGATGATGTCAGATTTTATCCCTATGTTTTATTTTTAGAAGTAGACCAACAAACAACCATGACCTTAATTCTACAAGGCAGAAGTGCATACAAGCACATTGTTAAATATCAGAATCTATTTGAGTTCTGACAGTTTCAGCGGAACTGTACACATGCGTCTTCTTTAAAAGCAGACTACAAAAACTAACTCACCAATATGGTGAAAAAGAACTATATATTTAAGACAGATTGAAATCTACCTTTTAACTTCTTTGTCTTCATACAGAGATAGTGGGAATAGCATTACATTTCAGACATAAATTGGTCAAAGGCAAAACAGAGATACCGGCACTTATAAGTGAGCATCAGTTTTATAGTGTCATTAAAGTGAAGCTGGAATCAGATGGAACAAGCTGCAAACTGGGCATGTGCAGACTCTGCCCTCTCCCGTATTTAAATGGAAGCTGCTGCTGCCGCCCTTTGCTGAGCTGATGATGGACTGAAGCAATCTGAAGCTCTAGTGAGAAACTCTGCACTGGATCTCACACCATTCCAAAGAATCCAATAACCTGTTTCACACATACAAAGGTAAAGTGGCTGACTTAAATTCAGAGGACAGCTCTTCTTTCTTGGTTTTTGCTTAGATTTTTTTCACCTGAATAATCAGCCCAATAAGAAGAGGATCTTTTTCCCCCCTGAGGACACCAAGAGCACCAAAACTGTGGAGTCCCACAATGCATGGAATGACTCAAAAGCCAATGCCTACACACAGATGGATCTGCTTCTTAGAGCCCCAACAGTAAGTGTTTTCTGTCACTCAATGCTGTAGCCTCTGGCAAGGCTGGCATTTATAGGACTGTAAATGGACAGTTAAGGAGCATGTACGGGTTTTATGCTGTAATGCAATAATGACATAACGAAAACTTTTAAATCTTCTTTTTATTCCTTTAACTATTTATTTAATGCAGAAAGGGCTGTACAAGCAGTGTTTTTCAGCAGAGTTGCATGGGCAGAAGACAGCAGGAATGTCTAATGGCAAAGTGCATCAAATATGTTGCAAACTATCAAAACAAGATGTTCTTGTACGTTAAACTGCTGTTTAGCAGTTCAAACACAATGTTCTCTTGTGTTGTTATTCAGGGCGGAAATCCCCATAATTTCTGTAATAATCTGTAAGTGCAGTGGAGTGCTTATGTAAATGTTAAAAGAGTTATGTGCAGTTACCCAAGAAAGTTTTTTGGAAGGTTTTCTCAGGTAAGTCCTATCAAAGTTCTTTCTGAATTTTTATATACTAAAGACATTTTCCTTGGAAGTGTGAAAGTGAGAATCTGTGGTGATGACACTTGAGGATGGAATTTTTTGGGTTTGTTAAAAATTTTCTCCATCCCACCCCACAAGCCTGAACCAAAGGAATTCAGAAGTTTTCCTGGCTTTGTCTCTCATCATGTGCTGTTTTTCTAAAGTCTGTTTAAAAGTTTATAATGAAAACATGAACCAATCTAATTTTTAAAGTTTTTAAAATCTATTTTTTAATAAAACTTGGATATCTGCGGTATATTACAGAAAAATAAACAAGGAAGTGTCCTGAGCCAAAGCACTTAAAAGGCTAAATTAAATGGATAACACGTGAAAAAGGATAGCAGAACGTAGCAGGGAGGGAGAAAAGGGACCAGAGAGTGCATGGCAAAATGGAAAAGGATTCTGGGGACACAGTGATTTACACTGGAAAATTAAAAATTGATCTTTTCCATGTTCTGCTGAACAATCTCATTAGCTGTCCCTTTCCCTCTCCCTAGGTCAAGCATCTGTATCACCAAAATTTTGCATTTTAACTGGACACAAAGGCTGGCTTAAGAGAGTTTCAGGAATGAAAGCAGTGTGTGCTGCTTGTGGCTGAGATTAAATCCGGAAGATAGGATACAAAATCTGCTATCCAAATTGCTCAACAGGGCGAGCATCATCCATGGAAAGCCCTGCTGTCTACTAGAAAGAGGGCTTAGCAGCTAGCGTCACCCTGCTGAAACCATAATTGAGGGGGATTACACTCCTCTCTGTGCTGCCTGTCATCACAGGGCAAGTGCCCACAGAGGCAAGCTCAGAAATCAGAGAAAGGACCTGCCAAGGAAAATAAGTGCTATCAGTTGTTTGAGGCCTCTTGCAGGTAGGCAGTACAAATACCACACAAGGAACCCCAGGAAATTACAGTGTTTCTGGTCAGATAGTTTTTGTAAATTATGTAATTTGTTGTAATGTAAAAGGCCTGACACTATCATTGGTTGTATAAGCCATACTGTGTAAATAAGTGGCTTCCTTACATGCATTTGTAGGAAAATTAGGAACAAAGAAACTTGTTATATTGCCAAAGTTCACATTGCACTTCCAAAACTTGCAATGTTTTGGAACTGGGTTCTCTTCTGTTGTAACATTCTTCCTGCAAAACCAGTGGCCATAGTTTGAAGTTAGATGAATTCATAAAAGTAACCGCATAGCACTCCTGTTTTCTTCCCTTTTGTTGTCTTGTTTTAAACCAAATTAGGTACAATCCTTCTGCCATATTCAGGCAGAAATAGCTGAAAAAATGTCTTTGACATAGTTTTTTCTGCTCCTGGCTTTAAGAATTGATGTCATACAAATCAATCAATCAGAATCAGTGCTGAAATATGTTCAAATGCCCAAATGACCTTATGAGGATTTCTTCTTTCCCTGCAGCTATAGCTGAACCCGATCTTATACTCTTGCCATTGTGAGACTGTGAGGAGTGGGCTATATCAGATATTATTTGCTATGAGTATTTGCTTGTGGGGCCTTGGTCCTACCATCACCACTGTTAGCTTTAGTAGGACTTCAGAAATAAACATCTCCAAGTCAACGGTACTTAACTGATATGATTTTATTTCCTCACTCTGAAAAAGAACAGATTTTTTTTCTCAGTAGTAGTTGAAGTCTGTTCTTGGAATGTTGTCCTTTTATCACTTATACAGAAATACTTTTCTCATGCTATGGGGATATTTGTTGGACTTTCAAAAATGGTGTATCTTCAACTAGAAGTTATTCAGAGATTAGCTGGTTTGTTCATTTGGGTTTTCTTATTTCATCAATTATGAAGTAATTATTTAGAAAACATTCTCTTTAGGAAACTGTATGAAAAATGGATTCCCAAGACAAAACAGATACAGGCATCAAATATTCCTGGGTTCAATATCTGATCTAGACTTCCTTGTTACCTGGACAAATGACTTAGGAATAGTGATTTTGGTTTGGATTGCAAAGGAGTTCCTTTATCCTTTCAACTGTCCTCAGATTAGTGTCTTCGAGGGTCTTGACGAACTTTATAGTGAAATACAAGTTATGCCCCATGTGCCTTAATGAATGTGCCCTGTGGCTGATTAATTTCTACTCCTTTGCACCAAGCCTTAGTCTGTCTCTTCCTTAAGAAGCAACCTGGTTCCTCAGATTGCCCCTCAAGGAAGAATTCTGCCTCCCTTGCAAGCAGCCGTGGCAGCAGGTCATAAATATAGAATAATGAGGCCATATTGTGCTGCAGCAAGCATTTAGACATATTTATCTATAAAACATTTGCTTTTCTCCAAACTTCCAGAAAGCATCTCAAGTTTGCAAGTCTCATGCAGGTTTACTGCAAGACAACTGAAAACACAATTCTGTTTTAGCTGTTTTGTTGGAGGCGGTACACAAATATTCCTCTAGGGAAAACAGTGAGCATTTTAAGAAGGCAAACTTCATTAAACTTAGCTGCTTCCCCCTAATCTAGTGCTTCCACAAGGACACACTTAAACCTGCCAGAAAGAAATACACTGACACAGAGCAACTCCATAACTTGCCTCTGCATCTACTGAGGCAAATGACAGAGTAGGATTTAGCAAAGCATTACAACTATATATGGAGGATTAAAATTTATGGAGGACTAAGATTTTCCTTTCCAATGGATAATAACACTGTTTTAGAGTACAAACCAATTACTAAGACTCCTCTTAAAATTAAATTTGCACATTACTGTTTATTATGCACATTGGTATCTATGAAATGCTCAGCCCTGGCTAAAGGCAGGCTGGTGTTTTGTCACAGATGCTTGTCTGAACCGATGTAGCCCTTCTCAAATTGATTCTGCAAAAACTATAGTGTAAGTAAATAATAAATTATATGTCTTGCAGAGATTAAAAACATGAATTCTTACACAGCTCCAGCAAAAGGCCTGTTTTCATACACACCCAAATGAAGTTATAAAACCTGCTTTTAATCGTGGCTAAAGGTTGAGAGACTTTGGTTTGTTGAACCTGGGGAAAACACGGTTTTGAGGAGATCTTAGAACAGCCTTCCAGTACCTGAAAGGGACTACAAGAGAATTCAATGGGGAAGTTTTACAAGGACATAGAGGCAGAACAAGGGGTAATGTGTTCAAACTGAAAGAGGGTAGATTTAGATTAGATATTAGGAAGAAATTCCTTACTGTGAGGATGTGAGGCTCTGGAACACATTGCCCAGAGAAGCTGTGGATGCCCCATCCCTGGGAGTGTCCAAGGCCAGGCTGGATGGGGCTTTGAGTAACCTGGGATAGTGGAAGGTGTCCCTGCCCACAGCAGGGGTGTTGGAACTAGAGGATCTTTAAGGTCCCTTCTGACCTAAACCATTCTATGATCCTATGAACACCCCCAAGACTCTCTCCCCAGGCCTGCTCCCAATCCCTTTTTCACTCAGCCTATATTTGTGCTTGGAACTGTCCTGACCCACACAGAAGACCTTGCACATGGCCTTGTTGGACGTCATGAGTTCTGCATGGTCTGACCTCTCAAGCCTGTCCAGGTCCCTCTCCAGGATGGAATCTCTTCCCTCCAGCATACTGACTGCACCACACAGCTGGATGTCATTAGCAAAGCAGCTGAGAGTGCCCTCGATCCCACTGTCCATATTGCCAACAAAGTGTTACTAGTGCCAGTCCCAGTCTAAATATCTTCATCATGAGGTGCTTATAGAAAGAAGACTGAACACAAAACATGCAAGGCAACACTGCTGTGTATTATCACTGCAACTGAAGTAGTTGTTCAGAGTATTCTCAAAGGACAAGTACTACAATATGGATTGCAACGGGGATTTTTATTCTCCCCTGCCAACCAAGTACTTGTACTGTGTGATGATAATAGAAGACAGAATAAACAGGGCTAATGCACTAGAGAAACTAAATAGACAAAGGCTTTGGGAATTATCTGATTTCTTGATTATGCTGCTGACCTGATTTTCTCAAGCACTATCTTTTTCTCCCTGTTCTTTCTTTTGATTACTGCAGAAGACAGAGGGCTGAACTCGATACAGGCACGTATTTTTGTCTTCTACTATGGAAGCTGTGTGTATGTATGCAACTTAGTGATGGATTTGAAGTGCTTAGTGCCTGATCTAATGCCTTCCTGATCAACTAGTGCCTTTCTTTGATGTAAAAAATAATAATTGTATTTCCAATGAAAATAGTGAAACGACTTTTTTTTAGTAAGTGATTTTTATCTCTTAGAGAGCAGTTGAGTTGTATCCTCTGGTAAAAATCCAAGGCCTACAGGAACTCTACACTAAAATGCTAATTTATTCCTTTTGCCACACACCTTTTCCTGATCATATATGTAGTTTTATAATTTATGCCCTAGCACTGCTCCAGTATAAGTATTATTATTTTTTTTCCCACACTTGACACTTTTATTGATTCTGAACTTGTTTCATTAAAAAGCGATTTTAAAGTCTTCTGTTTTCCCTTAACTAATTTTACCTCTCTTGCGATTTCTCTGTGTATTTATATTTATCTTTCAAATTTTTCCTTGTCCTTAGTGCTCCACAAATTTAATTCAAATTAAAGACACTTTGATCTGTTTTTCATAGCCAAAACAAACTCCTTTAGTTGCTTCATTTCTATTACATTGATCTAGTTCTGATTAAATGGATAGCTACAGGGAAAAACATCAGAAATCTCCATTCCACTAATAATCATAATTAACTCCCTGCAGAACAGCTGTTTAAAAATGTTCTAGCCACAAGACTAAGAAGAAATACAACCAACCCAAACCAAAGAACACCTGATCTCATTTTCTTGAAAGAGTTTTATCTCAGACTGTCCCTATCCACTTGCTATTAGTATGGGATTATTTTTGTTAGTTAGTTTACTGGCAGCGTGTTGAGCACAGCAATTTCTAGCTGGGCAAGATGCCCATTGATGTTAATGATGTTATGCCAACTTCCACTTTGCTGCAGGAACCTGAACCATAAATGCTGTGATACTGTCATTCAATTAGTGCATCAAACTTAACATTTTGCTCCAATTACAGTAACAGCCAGAACTACATTTTCTTTCTCTAAGATCAGAGTATTTGCCCAGCATTTCATTGCTGCTAATGTAGAAACCCAGGGAGTGCACTCTGGTGGTTGAGGATTGCTGTGGGCAGATCTTCAGCACACAAAGCAATCTCATCCAGAATTCCAGGCACTCCTGGGGTTCACCTCTTGCTACTGGAACGTTGGTTTTAAATCCACATTGCCTGTAATAACCTCAGCCCAACCTCACAGATGCATTCAGAAGTAATGTCCACTTCTATTGTCCAAAAATACCCATTTCCAATACTGCAATCTTCAGACTTGGCTACTGAATTCTGCTGTGAGTTATTAACTGATTAAGACACAAATGCTTCAATCAAGTGGTTTATGAAATACTTCACAGAGAGCAAAATACCTTGATTCAGGCAGACCAAAACCAGAACTGGTGTGGAAACCAGGCATAAGGTATAAAGGATTTGTGGTTTAGTTTTTCTGATCCTTAATTTAGTTTCCAAAAGACTCTTATTCAAGCTGCCAGGCTTTTGGTAATCAGCTCTTGAGGCCAGCTCAAATGGCTGTGTTATTCAGTGGGGGAAAATGAAGTGGCCGTAGTGCTAAAGGAGTAAATGCCTATTTATCCATAGAACATTTCTACTTAGAGAAGTCTAGTCTGTGACGTCAGAGGACAACTGAAATTGCACTTCGGAGGTACAGAAACTTTCCTGAAATTAAATCTATAGGAAGTTTACTTGTTGTTAAATACTGCATTACCTGATATCAGATATAATGAAACAGGTCCCTTCCTGTGCCTTTTTCTCCTCTACATCCTTATTTTTCTTTTGGGAGAGAATAGGTTGTTTTTCTTCATCAAAATTCTAAATTGACAGTAAGCGTACAAACCATCCTTTGCCCTTTGCACTGCTGATGGCATATTTATGCTCCAAAGATGATCAACAGTAAATGGAATTTGGATTTATTCTGACTTTTTTTGCTTGTTTTCTTTTTGCATTCTTGACTCTTTTCCCTTCTAGAGAAGCACATGCCAGCTTGTTCAGAAAAGTTTGGCAATATACCTGTGACCTTTTATTTGCTTCACAGAAGATGACAGTGCAAGATGCTCCTCGTGCCTTTCCCACAGTGGATGTCCCAGATCATGCCCATTATACAATTGGAGTTGTCATCCTTCTAGTGGGGATTACAGGAACTCTGGGTAATTTCCTGGTCTTCTATGCTTTCTGCAGGTACGTTTCTTTTTAATGTCTTTTTAAATATTCAAATGTATGAACTTGAACTGTGTACTGCAAACACAGTCCAGGAATAATGTCAGACTTCTTCACTGGCAGAGTAAAATGCACCAAGAGACATTGCTGTAGGAAAAGAGTGGCAACCTGCCATTTCCTTCTGACTTCTTCCCATTAACCACAGCCACAGCAAAATTGTTAGCAAGATTGTGAAGAACCACCCAGATATTCCAAGCTGTAGAAATGCAGCCAAAGCAGAAATGTTACAGTGAATTTTTTTCTACTGGCTAATTGTATCTGCATTGAACTGATGGGCTGGTTTACACCTCTGTACCTCACAAATCTGCTCTATAGATGTTTCCTTCCTCCTGTTTCTTATTAGTCAGTTTCTTCCTTCCCCCCCTGTTCATTAGTGACCATGTCCCATTTTTTTCACATTTTCCAATACTTGGCTTGTTTCCTTTTAACTAAAGTCACATTCCAACTTTTCTATCTGAGGGAAATTGGATTTCTGACAACAATGTCATATGCTCACCATTGCTATTCACTCCTCATTCTGTGTCCGATTTGTCACACTGAAGCAGAGCATTGACATGATGTTCAAGCCACTGAACTTCTATTTGATTAGTCTTTAGGCATAAATGTAATAAACCAAAATAACAGCAACAAATTGTAGGATAATTTGGCTGTGTTAACTTAGATCAGTGGATTGTAGATGGAAGTTGTCTTGGTCTCAAGCCTGTACTTATGGGCAGTAGGTTTCAGCACATTCATTCAGAGTAGAATGGCATACTTAAGTGAAAATGGCAGTGGCCTTAAGAAGAGAAAAGGTATTGGGATGCAGATCAGATATGTGAGGATGAAGTACATGAGCAAGCTTAGCTCTTTGGATGGTCCCATACAGGAAATCCAGTTATGGCACTTCCACTTTAGGACACAGCTTGTCTTCATTTGAAGGTGATACGAAGGCAGAAAGGGATACTGTTAGCTAAGTAACGAGTACATCAGAAATTCAGAAAACAGTTTAGGTGCTTACAAAGCAGCCTCAGGTAATGACAAACCATAAGAGAACCAGCTGCCTGAAACAGAAATGTGTTCAGTGACTTTGCAGACGACAAACAACCCATAAGCACTTACTAATAATACCTCCTTGCTGCTAAATTGACAGAAAGGGGATGGTGGTCCAAGTGATTGATTCTGGACCAGTGCAAGACTGGAATTGAAAAAGGAGCTAAGTAGTTGCACTGAGCCCCAAAGTGAAGAGCTCTTGGTTGAGTTTTTATGTGTACCCTTTAAAACATGGTAGTGTAATATTATGAATAACAGAAGCAGGCAGAATACACTGAAAGCTGCTTATTGCTCCTTTAAACTCTGAGTTTGGGCCAGTGAAATGAGTGTCAGAGAGAATAACTGATGTAAAACGAAGTGCTTGATGGGGTTCGTAGAGAGTTTGCTTAATCCCTGTGTTAGGAAGCCACTGTTGATCTTGTCAGCAGTGGAAAATGCATGCCCCTTCTTCTGCTTAACACAGCCCAGATCCAGACATCCAGTGTACGCCAACTCTATCTTCCTGTTAATCATGGACATGCAGTGCACTGGTTAGAGTATTTAAAGAACAGTGTGATTTATCCCCATCACTGAGCTGGTTATCAAACAATCCTGTAAAATGCAGGAGTATAAGGGTGTAAAACTGGGCCTTGCTTGTGTTCGCTCATGAGGGAAACAAGAAGCACTCTGCTTTAGCTTACCATGGAGTGTCCCTTGGGATTTGTGAGCTTGCAGGAAGAAGTAACAGCATAATTAACAGTGCAGAAGTGTTTAGCAACATTTCTTCTGATCTCTGTAGGAGTAGGAGCCTTCGGACTCCAGCCAACATACTCATCATCAATCTAGCTATTAGTGACTTCCTGATGTCCATTACACAGTCTCCAGTTTTTTTCACCAGCAGCCTCTACAAACACTGGATTTTTGGTGAGAAAGGTTTGTATATATATTCTTTCTAAGATTTTACTATGTTTGTTCTTACCATAGTGGCAGTTAGTCTCAGAGTACTCTCAGGTACTTTTGCAATTTTGAGACCATTTCTCAACGTTGTTTCAGTGTTGACACATTTCATTGAATATTTGTGTCTGTGTGCAATAAATACACTGCTATTATGAGAGGGAAATTACATGAATGAGACAGATACAAAGGCATCACTGGCAACGTGAGGCACAGCACTAATCTTCTTGCCAGTGCTCTTCCCCAGTCACCTGGTGACTGTTGGAGTCCTCTGACAAAGAAGCACTCCCCTTCAGCACACCAGCTTAAAAGCTTAAATTACCTGTGCTGGGACTTGCACCTGGCATAGTGAGGCAAGAAAGCCTGGAAAATCTGATTTTTCACAACAGAAATTCTAAGTGTAGTAAGAAAATATGAAATAAAGGTGCTTTCATTCTTCCAATATAACTGTTATAAGAGGAAGGCTCTTGAACCGGTACTGACAGAAAGGAAACTCACAGAAGTAAAATTGCTATTTTGATGTCATATGACCGAAAGCATATTTTTATTTTACTTCCATTAAGTGCTCATTTGCATACATGTTAAAACTAATCCAAACCACTGCTTTTAATCCTTAGGTTGTTTGAACAATTAAAATCACTCATTTATATATTCATAATCTGAATATTTACTTCAGCTAAATTACTCATTAATATATTCGTATTTACTTCAGTTTTGCTGCCCTTGCGATATGAACAGTACCAAAGTAACTATATCCCTTTGTTAAGCAAAACAGCTGCTTCTATGGGACCTGCAGTAAAACTGGAGTTAAACAAGATATTAATGTAGTGCTGAAATGATCCCACTAGAAACACCAGAAATCAGTGAGTGAAAATATGTTCAGTATCACTGTCTCCAGCAATTGATGCAAACAAAATATGTGAAGTTTATCTCCTTGGATAATGTAATTAGCAAGACAGCAGCTTTGAAGTAGCATTATAACTGCAGGAAAACTCAACTTTCACTGCTTTACAAATTCCAGAAGACATTAGTTCATAAGAAACACAGATTTGAACTCTCCTAGAAATAATTAGCATGGGCAGATTAATTTCACTGCTACTTCTGTCATCTTCATTGCAAGGCTGTGAGCTGTATGCCTTCTGCGGAGCTCTTTTTGGCATTACATCTATGATCACTTTGATGGTGATTGCCTTGGACAGATATTTTGTCATCACTAAACCTCTGGCTTCTGTTGGAGTGACGTCAAAGAAGAAGGCCCTAATAATCCTGGTAGGAGTCTGGCTGTACTCTTTGGCTTGGAGTCTCCCACCCTTCTTTGGATGGAGTAAGTGAACTGCAATAAAACTTTTTTGCCCTCATAGTACCGGATAAAAGACCAGTTATAGGTACAGAAGAGGGTTGAATTAATAGCTCACATTTGAGGCTTGAGTAGACCAATTTGAAAAAAAAAAGAGATGAACTACATGTTGAAACTGAAAGTCTCTAATGAAAAGAAAAGAATGCAGTGGGTATTACAGCATATTATATGACAGTGGCACTTTTCCTTAAACACATTACTTGCTCCATAAAGGACAGCAGATAAATTCATGGCCAAAATTTATGAAGAATGTGCCTACTCATTATCCCATGTCTACTTCCATTGAATCAAATTTAACAATATATAAGTTCAATGAATGTATTTGTGTTATTTCTGATGCCTTTTCCTCTTTGAAAGTGCTGTCTAAGAGAGCAGTGTCAATCTAATTCTTTCCATTCACACAAAAGAGTCTGAGCATTTGTGCCAGGAAGATCTTCAGTAAGTCTTGACTGCGTTTTGGATGGACAAATTGCACTTAGTGAACTTTCTCTGTTCACTCATTGGTGTTGTCACTGGCTTCCAATAAGCATGGCATTTAGTAGTAACTAAAATGCTTTTGTAAATGTGAATTTCACACATGGAAATTGGAACATTCATCCAGCACCTTGATCATTGCAATTTGTGACCAAGTGAGTTTCTGTTATTCTTCCTCACTGGAATCTGCCTCACTACCACTAAGTTTATTTCCTGAGATTCACCAGCTGCAGTCACTAAGTTAGCATGAACACATCATTCAAAACCCCAGCCCACAATTATGCTCCCTAATTCCTGAAGAGAATGTGTCTGCCAGCTGAGGTGAGAACATAGACATGTTTGACTAGTAAAGGATGCAACAACCAGCTCAGGTACTGAGTAGAATTTCAGCAGAGTTTTGTAATTGTCATATTTTTGCCATTCTGGTCCCCCTAAATATGAAGCATGCTTAAGCAGGCAAACTGCAATACTGACAAAAGCAGTCTTTAGTTGAGTGAGGAGCTGTTAGAATAACAAAATGACAATATAGCCTCAGATTATAGATTTTCAGTTGAAGAAGGTGGAATAATTGCTTGAAGGGTGTTATTATCTTGTAATTAGATTGCAATAGTGCCCACAGTATGAACTCTCACACTGTAATTAGATGCATTTGAGAACATCTGGTGCAATATTTTTAAGAGTGGAACAGAAAATATCAGCACAAACAGTTAAAATTAAAATTCCAAAGTAAAAAAACATTGCTATTGCCAATTTATTTACTTAACAGTTTGAAACAGTTCCTTTAAAAATAATACATTTTATTTCAGGCAAAACATTATGTATGCGTTTTTTGGGGTTTTTTTACTTCTACTCAGCTTTACTTCATGACAAAATTATTTCTTTCTCTTCATGACAAAATTAATCTTTCTCTTTTGCCCATTAAATTTATCTTATCTGCACATGCTTAGAAAAGTGGTACCTAGAGCAATTGTTTTGACTTCTTAGGAAGACAGCAATTTGACAGGAAATTGAGATATTTAAAAACTATACAGGTCTGGTCCTAGACCCAAATAAGTATTTGAATAGATTCCCTTTTACTGTGATGAGTTTTAAACAATATTCAAGAGTAAAGCAAAATTACTCAGTTTTCTAAAGCCTTAGACTGCTAAGCATAAATACAACAGGGAAACAAAATAAAAGAAAATATAAAAGTTCTTTACATGAAGAATTGTTTATCCTTTTAAACCCTTTTTTCCCTTTCAGAGAATAGGACTAAATCCCATATTATTGTATCTTCTCTAAATGAGTATCTTCTCTAATATTCACTTCATGGTTTATGCCTGTCTTCCTTTCTAGGTGCATATGTTCCTGAGGGTTTGCTGACTTCCTGTTCCTGGGACTACATGACTTTCACACCATCAGTCCGTGCCTACACAATGCTGCTTTTCTGCTTTGTCTTTTTCATTCCTTTGATTGCTATCATATACAGCTATGTCTCTATCTTTGAGGCTATCAAGAAGGCCAACAAGTAAGTAGCCAACAGTCCTAAATTTTTATCCTTGCATTTAAATGACTGTCTTCTTAAAACAAAGAAGAAAATGGGGATGTTTCTCACATTTATTTTGTAAGCACAACTGAAACAGAAAACCAAACAAGAATTCTGTCAATAGTCAACATGGTAAGACATATGGTTCTCTGAATTTAGGCCTGAGCTTATCAGTGTATTATCTAATGACATGGAAAAGGGTACAGAAATTAACCAACCAGAATAAAAACAAAAGGGATCTCAAAAACACCTAATGACAGTGTATAAATAACTACTTCACAGAAAAATAGATGGACTTGAACTATAAATTTAAATAAAAAAGGAGATTAAAGGATTAATAGCAGGACTCTGAAACAAGAAGCTGTTGCTGTAAATGTAAAGGGCAACCTGCCACTCCATGTGCCATCTGTGGGTACCAGTCCCACAGATCCCAGTGGATCTGGTCACTTAGCTCACAAATACAAAGTGACAGCAAGGTAGCAAAACAGGACCCAGGGAAGTAAAGACTCCTCTAAGTGTCTTTAACTCAGCATCATTCAATTGGCTTGAATACCTGCTTTATGTGGAAAATCTTTTGGTACTTTTCCGCTATTTTTTTTTTCATTGAAGCACATGTGGATTTTGCTACTGATTAGTGCAACAGAAGTACATCGAATTGGGAAGGATGGGTCACGTACTTGCATTAACGTGCAATAAAAGTGCACGAGTTTTAGCCTAAAGTAGCAGAAGAGTAATTGTTGTACCACTTCATTAAGCTATCTGCTTACTTCCCTACCTTTGTTTTTTGCTGTTGTATGTTTATTTTCCCTAGGTCTATTCAGATATTTGGATGCAAACGTGGAAATAGAGAGTTCCAGAAACAGTATCAGAGGATGAAACATGAGTGGAAGATGGCCAAAATTGCACTGATCGTCATCTCGTTTTTTGTCATTTCCTGGTCACCATACTCTGTTGTTGCTCTGGTAGCTTTTGCTGGGTAATTATAAATGTCTCAGCAAAGCAATATTCAGTGAAAGCAGAAGATGTGGAACTGTAAAAGACAGATGAAAGTCAAAACTACTTGTCACATTTGACATCTGAAGCATGTCCAAAACATTCATATATTTAGGAGCAATATTTGACAAATGGGGCACATGCTGACTAACTTTTTCTTAGTTTGACTTCAAGAAAATTTTAAAAAAAGAGAAAGAAAACAAGAATATTATTACTGGCAATATAAACTGCCATGCGAAGATTTCTGAATGCATTCTGTATGCTAGGATATTTGAACTTTCAAAACTTTATTTAGCACCAAAATGCTAAATAAAGCACTCTAAAAAGATCCTCCCAGGGGTTGATTCTCTTTTTTTTTTTCTCTACTTCTTTAATATACCAAAGTATACTCTTTTTTTTTTTTTGTGTCACATCAAACTGCTAAAATTCCTTGCATGTATATGCAAATTCAAAATTAGTACATACATGTGTTGGAAGCTTTTTGATGCTGGATATAAAAGATCATAAACATAAATCATCAAAGCATGTTCTTTATCTATTTGTCAGCATTTTATACAGTATTTTCAATGGAAGTATGATAGTACTAAAACATTTAGCTTGACCCCAGATAGTTGACACTCCAGGCATAAATAATGGATTGGGAATGCTGATGCCTTGGCTCTGTGTGGTTATTCTCCCACCTTAAGATGTGAATTTTCCTTTGCTTCAGTTTAGCCTCTCTAAAGTATGTGTGACTGTCTCTTTTAGGAAGGCTTGTCACCTGCAAAACCTCAACGGGACGATTCCTATGACAGTAGAAAACACTTCTCTGTATTTTTCAAGTCAGAGATAAAAAGTAGGTGTTCCTAAAATTGACACACAGCTCAAATTTACTTACTATGGAGCATTTTGGGAGACAAGGGTGATTTTTGTTACACACCCAATAAAGAGGCCACTGCTGAGCTTCATCTCAACTGCTTAGAAAGGCAGTTTCCTAAACACAGTACCTCTAAAATCTTAGGTATAAGAAGAAAAAAAAAAAAAAACTGAGGGAGGTGGATCCTCTCTCTTTGTATGCAGACAGGTGATTCCCAGCTGCCATGAACATTTTCTCTATGAAGGTAAACACGTTCCTCACTCAGAAACACGAACCCTTCGCATGTGTCCTAGTGTCCCATTTCCTGTCAAAGGGGAACTTAGGTACTGGACATCCTCCACTGGTGACATGTGATCAGTTAACACAGAGGAGAAGCAAGGAGACACAGAAATGAAGCACAGCTACCTTGCAGTACTGTAAGAGACCTAAAAGAAAATCAGTCAGGGAATGCTTTAAGCTGACTACTATGTAGAACTGTTGTGCTGTGACATAGAATTCAGCATCTGCCCTAGGAGGATCAAGTACCTGCTGAACTTGACTTCTGCTCCATGTCTCACACTCTCAAAAATCTGAACACATGAATAATTTTCTAATTCTGCAGAATGTTAGAAATTAGCAATTTTAAACGTTCCTTATAAAGATGTCTGGATAGCAACATAGCTTAATTCAGATTTTTTCCATTTCTGAGCTGTCTTTTAGGCAATCCTACTGGGATTTTTCAGATTAATAACCAAGCCTGGATGAAATTTTATTGCAAGGGACTCAGATAAAATCTCACTGCATGCTACATATGGGAGGCAGACATAGAGTCTGTGGCTATAGTCTTGGACTAAAGACAACTCATCTGACAGAGCAACAACATATGAAAAAGGAAGGAAGAACCTTAATTCCTTTAGAAAATATTTTGAATGGGGAGTAGTGAGGTAGCACACAGTCATGCTCTCTAATATTTTTAGCCTACAGGTTGCATTTTCTGGGAATTATTAGTTTAAACACAAGAATGCTTAGCTTAAACAGAAAGGCTTTGCCACTGTTTGTTTCTGTTAGCTGAACTCTCCATCAGCCTTACCAAAGCATTGTCTCAGCTCACGGTCAAAATCTCCATTCCAGTAAGGTCACACTGCATGTTATCCAGAAAATGTGAAGATTTATACCTCTAATCAGTGTTTTCAAAGTATGATCAGGAGAAACCATGTTAAATATTGCACACAGAGAACATCCTTATCCTTATCGGGGCAAAGCCTTAATAGGTGAAATGGCATCTCAACAGGCAGCTGATGAAAGGGTTCTTACACTGCAACTGGCAAACCATTTCCACATCATCACAGAGCATATATATACCTGTAGTATGATGAGAAACTTCCTTACCAGGATGGTGAGGCCTTCTTAAAGGCTGACATTGTCCCTAGGTGAAACAGCGTGGGAATGACCACAATCCTGAGTCATACTAGTGAAGTACTGCCAGAAAAGCCCCAAGAAAAATCATATTTCTCAGAAATCTAATTAGAATGATGTTGATCTTTACAGGTAAAGGATGTACAATTTGTTCTCTCACTGTTTTGGTACAGAACTCCTCTTCAACTCTCCCTAGAGCCTTAAAGCACTGTCTTACCACTGTATAACTGCATAGACAATGCAGAACTCAATAGTAAATATATGGTGTGTTTGCATTACTCTAGGTATTCCCACGTCCTAACACCATTCATGCACTCCATACCAGCTGTGATTGCCAAAGCTTCTGTCATCCATAACCCCATCATTTATGCCATCACTCACCCCAAATACAGGTAAGTTCACTCCTACAAGCTATGCTTAATATAGCAAAGAAAATCTGAGAGTAAATTTGTCACTTTTAGGTCAAGTACCCAAACTCTCCTTCACCAGCTCATTTTAACTCTGTGGGACAGCCTTGCCCTCCCCAGGAACACTCCTCAGTGCCATAGAAATGTCAATGGAATTTGTAGTTGGAACAAACTCCTGAGCAGATGGTAGTTAGAAATGTTTATGGATACTGATCTGTATTTACCTATTGCATGATAAAAGATAGAAACCTTTCCATCTCAAAGGAAAGCACCATAAATTTTTAACTGTCTTCATGAGAGGCAGGCATTTGGGCAGTGTTGCAAATAGCAATTTGTTACATTAACCAGGCCAGTGAGAGAAGCAATACAGTGAGCCAAACCACCCTTCCCTGTTTTGTGAATCCTCCTCATGTTTCTCCAGGCTTTCACACTTCAGGTAGTATTTCCTCTGGCAGGTAAAATGAAGGGTCATTACCACTCCAAGTTCAGATGCAGGCAGTGAGATTTGACAGATGGCAGCAATGCCACAGATAGACTGTTCTTTCACCACTGACAAAGATCTGTGAGGAACTGAATAGAGAAGTGGTGGGCAGGAACATCTTCATGGGGAGGGCTGTCAGGAAGAGGAAAGCTAGGCCAGAGTTTCCTAACACTGCATGTGAGCAAAGTAGTACAGTAATATAAATGCACATTCTGTGCAACTCTACAGATAGCCAGCAAACAGATGTGTAAGAGGAGCTAGAATAGCTGCTTAGGGGAAGATTAAAATAATTCATTATGTAGTACTTCTGGAAGGTTCAGTTTAAAGGGACAGAATTTTATTTTTGTCCTGATTAAGCTGAAAGCAGATAAAACATTGTTTTAATAGCTCCCTTCAGTTCCAAGAGTTATATTTTAATGCCCTTATCCCTGCCAAGCAATAAATTTGAATTCTGCAGAACACTGTGAATAAGTGATCTTGCAGGGTGATATGATATCTGGAAAACTCTTTTTGGACCCAGTAATTTTCCAGTCCATGCAGCATTGGTTCATCTCTGAATAAATGCATTGTTTATGATGATTGAATTTTTGTGCTAACAGACAAAAAATCTGACTGGTTCTACCTCTTATCCATTAGACGAGCCATTGCAACATATGTTCCTTGCCTTGGACCCCTACTGAGAGTTTCTCCTAAAGACTCACGGTCCTTCAGCAGTTACCACTCCTCCAGACGAGCGACCGTAACCAGCCAATCTTCTGAGATAAGTGGGCTGCAGAAAGCAAAAAGGAGACTGTCTTCTCTCTCTGACAGTGAATCAGTAAGGGAGGCACTTCCCATACACCCATTTTTAATTGCAAAGCAATTCATCTTCATATAGAGTCCTTCCAAGTGGTAGATTCCCTAACTCTTAAGTGAAATGCATTGTGGTGCTTGTTATAAAAACTCCAGAGAAAGTGGAGGGACAAAGCAAAATTAAAGACAGAAGGCTAAGTGTAAAAGCAGAATGTAGATAGTTTTCTTCTTGATGGTTGGTGACACTGAAGGAAGAGTGGAAAGATGGAACAGGAAGTTTAGAATGTAAAGTGCTACTTTGTAAAACCTTACCTATAAGCAACAATAAAGGTAGCATAGAGCTCAGTTGAAAGTCCAATCATACTTTTAGGTTGTGCTTGTCTCACCACAGATTCGCAGTCTGGATGCAGAAAAAAGAAACTGCTAGTCAGAAAATAGTTCTCTAGTGAAAGCAAGGTTGTAATGAAATAGATAATGCTTTCTGAAAATGGGATGCATTTGGAAACATATTAATCATCAGATATAGACAAATCAGTAAATCCATTACAGAATCTTTCTCACAGAAGACCTCAACAGCTTGCTGCTGCCAATCTAACTGGAAACAAATGTTTTACACAGCAGCTGAAAACAGGGCAAGTATTTGGCACCCAGGCTGCCTTCTGTAACTCAAAGTTATATTACTAACTAAATAGGCATAATAGTTAGCTCATTGCAGTAATTTCAAGCTAAATTTCCAAATAACTGAAAAGAAAAAATTCTTGGCAATTCTTTTTCACAGTCAGGGTAATAATTGCAACTAACCCAGCCAAGTGCTGAATTATGACAGTTGTTTTTAACAGTGACATTTCAATTTCTTTGCCCTCTCTGTTCTTTTGACTTCTCAGTCCAATCAAAATGAAATGGTAGCCTCCAGTCAGGTGGATGGTTTTAAAACTGTCTAATAGAAAAGGAATATCTTTATAGTGTATCTCTTACTCTGCAAATCTTGATTCTTAAAAAACCAACAGATTCCTCAGTAACATGGTTTTGTTTTCCCATTAATTGGAACAAAGTTTATAAACCCAGGACTCCTTACTGAAACAAAATATTTCTAAAGCAATGATTCTGCAGTCCTGAGACATTTCTTTCTATTTATTTCTGCTTCCACCCAAGCCACTTTGGAAACTTTGGCCCTAATTGCTCCAAACACCTGTGTTTCCTAAGTGGGTAGTACTGTGGAAACACTGTCTCTTTGGAGCTACAAGAGGCATCAGAGAAGTTTCAACAATAGATTGTAATGAAACACTATTTTCTTTCAAATTTTGCAGTGCATCCTGCGGAGGAAAAAAAAAGTAAGCTGAATTTTAGATGCAACAGAGTTGATAGTTTTATTTATACTTCTTATAAGCAGACATTTTATGAAATTAAATATGGCAGAACTTTTGTGCAATGTCTTTTATACAATGCCTGTCTCTTTTATTATTTCTGTCTAGGTAAAACTGGGGCAAACTAGACGAAAGTCTAAGGGACCTAGAGTGAATGTTTTTGCTGTATTAATTTTAGGGCTGTACTGAAACAGAAACTGATACTCCCAGTATGTTCTCCAGACTTGCCAGAAGACAAATTTCCTACGATACAGATAAAGACACAACTCAGACTAGTGACATAAGAGCCAAAGTGACAAGCCAGGATTCTAGGAATTGTGGGAAGGTAATAGACTGTGTAATACCTAAATTCTCTAACAACTGACAAGTTAACAAATCTGCACATTGTACCATAATTAATCATGAAGGTTCCTGCCAAGAAGATGCAGATAACCTATGAGTTAACACAATGAGTAATGACTTAGAGGCTGTAAAAGGTCATCAACTTTTTATTCCCACCCTGGTTCATTATTCAGCTGTCTTCATTGTATTTCTGCTGCTGTTTTAGAGAACTTAACATCTGAATGGAGAGTTGTCTCATGTTTGGCTTAAAGTGAGTATTTAGTAATATTTGTCTTTCACTGTCCAAATTACTTGATTGATCTTGGTTGTCCCACCATTTGTTACCAAATGAACAAATATGGTAAGATGTAAAAAACAAGGCTATCTTTAATATATCACTGCTTTTCAGTCAGTCCTCTGCTGTCCTCTTTTTTCCCCTATATATTTAGCATATGTCAGATATTGTGACATACCTTTATGTCATTTACATCTGTCTTATCTGTGTTCATTTTTCAGACAGCTGTAGATGCTGATGACATATTGATGGTGGAATTGAATATCACAGAATACATGGCTACACCTACTGTAAGAACTATTATTTTAATATTTGGCAACAAAAACTAATGACAACCCCAGCCCCTGAGCACAAATTAAGTTGTTTTTGAGATGCAAAAATTACACAATATTCCCAAAACAACGCAGAAAACATGACCACAAAGGGTAGGCCATTGCTGAAACTAAGCAGAAGTTGAACATAGGTATTACAGGATTCTTCTGAAGTTCAGCTTCTTCGAGGAACCTGAATATTTTCTTGAATTTAGTAAGTCCTCTAATGAGGTCTGTAATTTCCTTAGTGGAATATGGAAGCATTACCTTTGTGCCATCTTTATATTAATGATGTACATGCTAAGCTGAGACAGCCATTCTGATGGCTCATACCTCTGAGACAGCCTTAGTCCTGTGGTAAGTACTGCTGTGCAAAATGATGTTGTTAACTATTTAATGTTCTCTGTTTTGGGTTGCAGCAAACATCTAAAGCATGCAGCGTGGAGGAAATCAAGGTCAGTTTTTGAAATATGCCATGTCACCTATTCAGTAAGATGTTGTATGTTATATTAGTGTCTGTTTCTTCTTCATCTAACACAGCTACAGCATATGGGTAAAAATATCTGACATCTCTCACGAGTGAGTCAACTTGCCTTAATTCTCAGCAGACATGGAAATAAAAGCAAAGAGCTGTCAGATGAAAACAAGGCAGCACTAAATCCAATGTAATACAATCACCTTAAATTGTCTCTTTATTATTAGCAATGATCCTTATGAGCTACTGTGAGCCTCATCCTAACTGATTTTTTGGTACTGTGCAAGTGACAGTTAACGCTGCTTATTGTCAAAAAATGCTAGTTAATCTTTCCCTCCATTTTTATCTCATTATGTAGTTTGCTTCGCCCTTCAAATTATCCATGCTGTTAACACTACATTTTACATCACCTCTTGCCCAATGACCCTAAGTAGTCCCTCTTTATGGAGAAACTCTTTACCCAATTGAATTCATAGGCTGTCTGAGCATATTCACAGCATTTCTGTTCATAGCTGAATGTGCTGTCATTAGCCTGGTCTTTCTTCAAAGTAGACCAGCACTTAAGCAGCAAATGCAAAGTCTTTAATGCTTTAGTACATTAGCACGTGGGGGTTTTTTTAATAAGTTATTAATGAAATATTTAAAAAATGTTTAGATGTACTTTTTCCTCCATCATTTAAGTTTGCTTTTCAGTCAGCCATGCGGAATAGCGAAGTGCTAAATATATGTCATTTTTAATAGATGATTCAATGAGATCTCCTTGTAGATGTTTGTGTTGTCCATTTCTTGTAAATCTTTGCATCCTTTAGAAAAGTGAGAGCCTGAACAGTATTGGAAAAAGGAAAGGAGAGTCTCACCAGGGATCATCTTCAGCCCAGATACCCAGTATTACAATAACATGCAGCAGTGTCCAAGGAGTAGAGCTGCCTTCTAGATACAACTCTGGTTTCCTGTATCCAAAATCCAGCAGTCACAAGCAGAACAAGAAGTCCAGCAGTTGAGTGGTGCAAGCCAGTATATCACCTTAGCCAACTGCCCTGGAACAGCTGTGGACTGGCTGAATCCAGAATACCTTCCTAGACTGGTCTGAAATGCTCCTACAAAGACACAGCACAAGACAAGCAAGGATGAAAACATAAAGAGGATCTTTTCAGCGTCAGAACTCTCTCCAGTGGATCACATCTTCATCTGAGTCACACTGTCATTTTAATATTTCTTCTTTATGCAGCTCATGAAAAAATTTATTTCATTTGGATTTTACTCTGCTCACATACATTCCCATCACTGCACAGACCTGACCTAGAAACCTTCTAGGATTAACCTGAGAAGGAAGGGAAGTATAATATTCAAAACTGGCTTTGTTCATTTAGTGTATTAATTTCAAAGCTATTACGGAGCTAAAGCTGAGAAATTTGGGGGGAAATGTACATTACTTCCTGAAGATGGTTTCTTCATTACTGTGAAGTTTCTCAACCAAATGTAAATTTAATTACACAGTCAGTGCCCCCTTCTCTCATTAATGACACATTTTCCCCCATTTTCTTCTACAGTCCAATGAAAGGCAATGCACTTCAGCAGTAATTTGAAGTCTCATATCTTTATTTTAATTTCTGAGACAGGGAAAGAGAAAGGAGTAAGAGTTGAGGAAAAGGCTATGGTCCTTTCCATACTTAGCTTCTTTTCCAACAGTGGTTTAAGAGATTATTTTAACCCATTCTCAGCTGACTCCCACAGAGCTATAGGAGATTATTATGAAACTCCTTCTGACTTTCCTTTAGCAGGTTTCATAAGAAGAATGCAGAATACAAAGCAGTGTTTGTATTGAAATGTCTTATGGGTAAGTCAATACATCTGCTTTCTGATACTTCAAAGTTGTTTACTCTTTGATGTGCTTTTTGAAAGTAAATACTGGGAGGAGAAAGTTTAGTTCCCCAAAAATGGTTGTTCTAGAGATGTATGAAATCCACATCATCCCCACTTCAGCATTTTCATTTTCCCCTTCTCTAAACAGCAGCATTTGTATAGCTGAGTTTTCTTCCACAGTGACTAAATCCATGAGATTGTACTTCTTTCCCCTGAAAGGAAAGAGTTCTATCAATAGTGACTTTCAGCTTTTTGATGGTGTCTCTCCTAGTTCGCTCATAAGAAGTGAACAAAATCCTTTTGCAATTCATAGCAGTCAGTCCAAAGTGGAGCTGAGACGAAAAGACCAGGGCACAAAGCACTATTGAAACAATTCTTCCCCATAGGCCCTCCAGCAGTTTTTCCTTTGGTTGCAATAATGGAGGGAACCCAGCAAGGCATTTTTTGTCCTATGTAAATCAATTCTTCTCTATGTCACAACAGAAAAAGCCATAAAATCAATAAAAATGTAATGAGCTTATTATCTTGAGGGGAAAAATCAGTGGGTTCCAGAAGGTCTGGGGCATTGTTTTGAAGTAAACTACTGGAAAATTAGGTCCAACTGAGGTTTATTAAAAGGAAGTTTATTAAAACTAAAAATTAACATGATAATGACTTCTGCAGCAGACAAATGTTAATCATGAAAAAAGTGAGGAATTCAGGCTGGTAATAAACTTCCAGAAGAAATACACTGTTCAAAATCCACAGTGTTTTTATGTAAATGAAATCATAGTCATCAGAGATGGACAGGAGCTGTTACAGTCTCTCCCTTCACCTACCACAACAGGATATTGTCTCCTAGCAGAGGAAAATATTAAACTGATAATATATACAGCTAGCAATAAGGAGAAAGAAGAGAGAAAACATTTTCAAACAGGAAGCGTGTTCAAAGATATTCCTAAAGGCTAAGGAGTTCTATTACAACTTATTTCTGAGGCTTTAAAAATATTAAAAAGCATGAAACATGCAATTCTTTCTTTGTCATGAAGGCCATTGACACTACCGAAAGATGGAAAGAAACATTAGCAAGCGCTGCCTGTTTCCTATGGGTCACAAAAGACTGAATCTGTCAAGAAAAGAGGTCTAACTCACATGTGCTGTTTGATGTGCTAACAAGGAGTATATAATATGTGCACTAATAGCTTGATCCTATGCTTCAGTCATGATTTTGTTCCAAGCAGTATTCTTCAAGACTGCATTCTGCACTCTTCTGCATTCCTTTCCACTTTTAGAGGGTATAAAAAGAATACTTCCATGGCTAGAAGAGCTTTATGAATCCACAGCATGTTGTTCTCTGTATCCTTCAACTCCAACATGTATTAGAGATTAGTTTGTATCTATAAAAAGAACTACAGCTGTTCATTCTCATCTACTTACAAGAGACTTGTAAAGCATATATTAATTAGGGAGAAATTGTTGGTGAGCACTTCAAAACCCTTGTGTGTACTCTCTGTGTAACTAACAGCTTTGCCTTCCTTCACCTCTGCTATGTCTATAAAAACCATACAGGGGAAAGCCTAGAAAATTCATCTCACCTGAATATCTCTACAAGTGGTTCCACACTGTAACCCCTGCGGCATTTGGAATAAATCATTATTAGTTCATATTTCATCTCATCCTAGCAGATTTATTTGTGTCCTGTATCCTCCACTTGGCAGCCATTCTCTTGGTTTTGCTGTCTCTTTACACCCTTCAACACAGATGACTGATTGGATTAAAATAATTTAGGACTAAGATGATTCACGTTTCACTTAAAGTCAACTGTACAGGCTGTTCTGCAGAGAGCGCCTGTAGCTTACCATGCACTTGGACATGTTCCAGTGAGTTGGAGTGTGACAGGACTAGGGCAAATCTGAGACACTTCCCTGTGGCCTTTTGTACTCCAGCAGCTGTTCACAGCGCAGGCTGCTGGCAAAAGCAATAGCAAGCAGCGCTGGGAGTTAACAAAAGCTCTGCCCCTTCATGGGGGCACAAACTCAGGCTTGGGTCACCAGTGAAACTGTTTGGTCTGATCATTTAAGCAATTCTGCAAAACTGCTGAGTGATTGTTCACTAGTGCTGGACCTTCAAAGGACGTGCCAAGAAGCACTGTAATGAATGGCTGCTGCAAGCCAAGACTGAAGGAGTGTATAAAGCAGCAGCCACGCATTGCCAAGCTTTCCAATTTTCACATACAACCAGGGTTTTACACCATGTGTTTTCCAATTTACGATCACATTCCATGCTTTTGGAAACATTTTTACACCCACTACTCAACTAAAAAGTGTCATCATAGAATATGACATTGAGTATTGAGATTTCACACATTCTCAAGTAAGACAGGATAGCAAACAGTATTTTCTTTGAAGTCATGTGCAAAACCCACAGCAAGCTTGACATTCAGAAGTAAACAAAGACACCTCCAATGCTTTTTTGGGTGTTTCTAGAGCTTTAGGGTGTAACATGGGTAAGTCACCATTCCCACGTGTGCCTGTTTTCCACAGGATGCTTGGTGCCATTTTTTCCTGAGGCCATCCCAGGAAGTCCCCTCATCCTCTGATCCCTCAGTGAAAGGTGCTGCTGTCCCAGTAACTCTGACAGGGCACCTCTGCTGCTGAAACCACTGCTGAGAGAGGGCCCTGATCTGCAACTCAGTGTTAGCATCACACCATGGTATTTCAGTGGCTGGTAACAAGTATTTCTGTTTGTAGCCTTGGAGTTGCTAATGTCATAGGAATGTTATAAATAGGTTTACATAAAAGTCTTGAAACAAGTAAATAAATTCTTAGTAGTGTAATTCTGAGCAACTTTAGACATGAGCCACAATCCTGTACACTAAATGACTATTGTCGTCCCTTACCCCCTCGAATTTATAACCTAAATGCTCATTTTCAAACTTATGCAAACTTCACAATTGACAAGATTTACAAGATGTCCTGTTTACTTCCCTTCTATGGAGAACAGACTGAGCAGATCATCAGTGTAAGCTTAGTAAAGGCAGAAAAGTTTATCCACAGCAAATCCAGCTTAACAGTCTGATACAAACCAGATATAACTATTTTTTTATTTTGTAGGAAAACACTTATTCTAGTTACAGCACTTCTGGAAGCACCAGGGCTCTTCTGGACACACAGCATAGGAATTCTGTATACCCAGCTTGCAGAGCAAAGAAAATGCTGCAAGAGTCACATCAGTGTAGGAAAATGCTCACTCACTGAATACAGAGATCACATGATACTAGACTACAAAGACTCAACTCTTTTGGCAACGAAATTGGCTCTCAAAATTAACATTCACGTGAAACTGGGGGTAAATAGTAGGACTACCCTACTATGTGGCTGGGAAAAAATGGAAGGGGATTCACCTCTTCAGAGTGAACTTTTCTTCCCTACCCTTCTACTTAGGAGTTTCTCGGTTTGCTTTGGTTTTGGGGAGATTTTTGTGGGGGTTTTTTGGGGGGAGAGTTGGGTTGGATTGTTGTTTGGTTTGTTGTTTGGTTTTTTTTTTTGTTGTTGTTGTTCTTTTTGTGGGGTTTTTTTGTTTGCTTGTTTGGTTGGGTTTTTATTTGTTTGGGTTTTTTTTTTTTTTTAACTCAGACAAACACCTGTATTTATGTAGCTTTAGTACCAAAGATATTTTCAGTCACTTCCAGGAAAATCTTAGCCAACCCTTGCCAAGGAGACTTTATTGGGAGAACCCTTTGAAGAGCCACTTTCATTTGGCTTACTGCAACCCATAGTCATAATCCACCAGATCTGACTCAGAAGCACAGCAAAAATGGCCTAAGTAGGTGGTCTGATGCTGAGTGTAACTTGGAGGATAGGTAGAATGTGTAACTTGATCAGGCTTGGTTCAAGCCTCAGGTACGGTGTAGAGCAGAGAGAGCTGCAGCTCTGGTTAAGCTGTGCCAGTGCACAGACATAACCTGAGAGTAAAGCTCATCATGGACATAAAAATTAACATGACACCTATGTAAATAACTTGCTAAGGGGAATTTTTGTGGGGCATGTTTTACCCACAATGTAAAAGCAAAGCCATTGCTCATTTCCCTCAACGTTTACACTTCCACAAGTGTACAAGAAGATGGTTTGGAAACAGACACAAAAATCTGAGACTACATCATTGTATAGCACACAGCCTCCAATGTAAAGTTCTGTAGAGGAACATTTCCTGAATAGCTGTGGGACGCTTATGGGCATACATACAATTGCTGCAATGTTTTCCACTGACTGCAAAAAATGAAAAAAGGAAAATCTATACCCTTCCACACAGTGCCATGCCTGAAAGGTTACAAAGAAAAGTGAGTCTAATGTATCAGTATCTCTAATGTAACAGCATTTCCTTCAAAAGCCTCAATACTTCAAAAATGTATTAAACACACCCAGATGCACCCTTTGCTGTGAAACTACTTTCTTATTAAGTTTTTCAGATGCTTAAAGTTAATCATATGCACAAATACTTACACAACCCCTCAGGACACACAAGTGAAATGAAGGAGTTAAGGGTATGTTAGGTTAGTACTAAAAGTTAGTGAATCTTAAAAATATTTTTCCAGACCAATATTTGCTGCTAACACCATGGAACTTTACATTAATATTTTTTTTCTAAGTTTCAGATTTTTTAAAGCCAAGGCTAATAGTGATAGGTGAGCTGAGTTGCAAATTTTATTTGATGTAGAAAGCAGCAAGCACTTTGGTATGCAAACCCTTACCAGAAGGAGGAATGACAGTCATGAAAAAATGAATACAAGTTTGAATCAGAAGTTCAAGATTCTGGGTTTTTGGTTTTTTTCCATGTTTCATGTATGACCTTGGGAAAATTACCTGATCTTCTCATGTCTAAGTATTTCTGCCTGTGAAATAGAGATAATATGCTCTTCATCATCATGTGGCTACTCTCAACCAGCTTTTACAGTTTGTTCCAAGATTCACAACTGGAAATAATTTTTTCCCATTTTTTTTAAATTCACGTTTTCTTCCTTTACTGTACAGTTATCAAAACATCTAAACTACACTGTCACATATGAAAGGCACAGATTGTTACTGAAGGGGGTAAGGCATTCTTTTTCTCAACAGAAATAATTTACAGATGCCCACCACACAGACTTCATTGGCTGTTTACAGGTAACATGAGTAAAGTAGAATCAGGCATTTTATTGTCAAGTTGTAACTAAGAAAAATATGTAGCATGCAATTGTGTATATGTTTTTGATCAAAAGCCCTATATGAAATAGAAAGGTTTGTCCCTTGAAGTTAGCAAAGTCAAGGTGGTAGAACCATTTTTAGGGTTTTCTGCTTTTTTAATTGGGCAGAAACTGTCCATGGCAGAAGGGAATCCTTGACCAGCAGTGCCATCCAGGAAACAGGGGTAACATAAACTGGGTGAAGCACTACAAAATCAAACCAGCAAGATTTCCACAAACTTCCCTGAATGTTGCCTAGAATGAAAATCAGTGAACACTGTACGGTTTAGCCAGCTCTGAACATTAGATAGTTTATTCTGCCCTGTCCAGACATGAGTTACACTTTCAGGACCAACTTCTAATTTCATGCACAAAAGAGCTCCATTAATACAAAAGGATTTAAATACGGCACTTCATCAAAGCTTGAACTCCAAGAACTGTTAAGAATAAAGTGAGGCTCACCATGAAAGGAAGGAAAGAAGGCAAGAATAAGACTATATTCTTAAAAGAAGCATTTCTAGTGGCTGGAGCATGTGGCTATTATCACAGCATGCCAGAATCTCTAAGGTAACTGTCCAGTGCTGACCTGTGACTCCGAGGAAGTCAGTTCTCATCAAGAGTCCCAGCAGTATTAACATACACTAGACTGCTCATGGTTATAAACACATAACCACAGAATAGAGCATATGACAATGTTTTCAGTAATACCTCTTCCCTTATTTGTCTGTATTAGATATGCTATTCAAGTTCACCTTTAAAGAAAAAAGAAAATAAGAAAGGTTTAAAAACAAACAAAGAAAAATTGGTTTTCTTTTTGCAAAAAGTTTCAGATCTAAACTTACAAGTTCTTTTCCAGTGTGACTGCTCACCTTCATCCTCTTGTGCAGACTGCAGAAATGCTGCTTAGCTCAATCCACATCTCTTAGGGATTCTTCTCATTTTCCCTACTTCTAGCAATGAGGAACAAGTCAACTCTTCTCTAATTAACCCACAGGGCCAGAGGGAAGGCCCTTGCTTACACTTTCCATGAAGCTGCTAAGAAATAGCTGTTTGTCCCTTCACTTCCCTTTCAAACCCTGATCTCTTGATCCGGACTCAGCTCTTCTACCTGCCAGGTTCTGCACTCGAGCATTCCTTGACACTCATCTCATGGACAGTCCTGCTTTCAAGCCCTCCCAGCAGTATCACCATCTTCTTCTAACTTTTAGTAGTTCACTCTTCTAGTACCCCCTTCCAAGCAGCCTCAATGCCCTCAGGCGGCAAAACCAGCATGAATTAAACACACTTCTCTCCTGGCTTTTAAAGGAACTATTTATGCTTCTACCTTAACATGTACACAGATGGAGTCTGGGCTTATAATAACCCTCCAACTGTGATTTAAAAATATGAATCTTTTTGATGCTGCTGTCCTCAGCTGAAGCCTCTGAGTAACAGAAGAACATGGCAGAACCCTTAATGTGTATTGATAGATCTTATTCGAAGTGCTATTTTCCAGATGCACTTGTTAAAACTCACTTTCTGTTGCTGCCCAGTGAAGTAAGACGAGAATTTAATCTGATGAAGGACAGAGCTGGGGTAGTAGCATCAGGCAGATTGGTGGTTCATCACATTCACTGCATGGATTCCTTTTGAAAATCATTCCTCTGAAAAAGAAAAAGCCACACCAGCCCTTCAGGTTCAGGATCATTATGTTCAGTTAGATGAGAAGTAAGTTTCACACACAAAGAGCTGCTCTCTTTAGGCACTGCAGATACCAGGTTTTTTTAGGCACTGTAGATGCCTGAAGAAATTAGAACCATGTAAATTCCATGAAACACGATGTGAAACTCCATTTCAATAAATCACACCCACTTTAATTCTTGTTTTAACCCAAACTGTGATGGTAGACTATGACTAAAATAAGAAATAAGAAAATACAATTCAGGATACCCATTAGCAATGCATCAAAATAAAATAACTGCAAATAAATCAGGGAATCCAAAAATTTTGAAAAACAGTAACTTCACATGAAACAGGCATCTTCTCTTTCTGTTTGTAGGCCAGAAAAGGGACTCAGAGGTACCATCCTGTGTCAGATTTCTCCTTGCTCCTTTCACTGAATCCTTCATTTTCCTCCCATGCAGGAGCCAGACCATAATGACGCCAGAGACAGGGCTAAGGAGGCCACAGCTCATGTTACAGAGCTGCACCTTGCAGATTCCCTTCATTGTGCTGCTTTCTGAAAGAGTCCAATCACAGCTGAACCTGCTCCATTTTCACTGGGTCACAGTACAAAGACAGCTGCTTCTTAGAGCAGTTCATGAATGTGGCAACAGAGTGAGCTGCCTGAATTCCAGCTTGTAAAAATAAAATTACTGCAGGAGTTTTCAAAATAACACAGCTGACTGTCCAGTGTCACTGGAAGCCATTTCTGGGAAACCCAGGATTTGGGGTTTAGGATCAGGGCATTTCTTTAGCCAAAAGATGGTCAAGGCCAGATATCTTACCAGAACAGCCATACTAGTAGGAATGGCATTTACACTAGTAAAGACTTAGAGCAAAAGGATTTCGAGAATTCAGCCATACAAGATGGATCCTGATGAGAACTGGGTTTCTCATTAACTGCTTAAGGAGAATTCTCTGAACAGAAATCATGGTAATTAAACAACTTCATGAGGATCATTAATCAATTCTGAATCTTTCCGTTAAAAACCAAAAAGTCCAGTGGCAATCCTCTACTAAGCACTTTGTGTCTTTGTGGCTACTTGCTTAAGATTTTCACAATACTAGTATTTATTCTCCAGTTTTGTATCTCAGGACTAGAGACAGAAATTTGAAAAATTATTCTAGTGGTCCAAAGGACATTCAATTGAACTTCAACAACTGAAAATCTTTGTAAGACCCAAATGTGACACTCACAGCTATGAAGTATACAGTGTAAGTTACACCACAGTGCACTCAAAATGTTGGTTGATTTGACAAGTCAAGAGGACCCCTTAATGTTTCTGTTTCAACATGTGACTAACTTGCAGGCACTTGTCTTTCTCTGCTTCCTCCTTCCAAGAGCTAGTGGCTTGATTCCAGCAGAATTATTTGACTTCAGTAAAATTTGACTGTTACTAGTTTACTTGATTTAAACTTGAAAGAGCTCATGAGTGGAAAAAAGCTCATCACTGAAACTTTTATTCTGTTCCCTTTACAACTTATATCCAGCATATAAAGGAAAAGGCTGAAGAGCAAAATAACAGAAATGGAATAAAGAATAAGACATTCCTGTTGACTTGTCTAGGAGTTCTATTCTTGTTAACTCATGCACTGTTTTAAATAATAGGGGAATTGAAACAGGTTACTTTTACAATAGGATCCTGAATTTGTATCACGCTTGTCCTCCCAGAGCCCACTGAAACTCAGTTGGAAAGCTTGGCTGGCCCTAAACAAGTATTGAATTACTGAAACTGCCAATAAAGCTACAAAATAAATTTATTTTACTTATTGTGATTGTACAGATACAGGTCTAGAACATTTTTCTGACATGGTGTGCCCTTCTTTATTAGTCCATTGCTCTGCTTACTGCCTGAACCATTGTGCAAGGACAGAGCTGATTGCTCAGTTACTGTCTAGTGAGTTGTATATTTAGCACTTGGCCATCAAGGCATTCTTGATCTTTCTTCAAGGTTGGGCACTGAGATGCCAGAAGGAAGAAAAACATACACCAGCACTCAGGCTCCAGCAGCAGCTAAGTTAAATTTAGCTCACAGTTTCCTCAGCAAAATTTATCCCAGGTTTCATCCCAAGGAAAACTGCTTCAATAAATCAATGGGCTCACTGAAAAAAATCATCATCAGCTCAAGGCACCAGGTAATCAAACTGAACAAGACTGCTACTCAGCTGACACTGTGGTAAGTATCAAAGATGGTTCTGAGTCAGACCAGGGCATTAACTCCTTCTGTGCGTTGGGCACTTTGATTTAGTGCAGTACCCAAGATTATCTGTAAAAGGTCATATCATTTACTCTTGGAGTGCTGCAAGGCAAATTCAGGAAGGTTTTGCATACTCAAACAGAAGTCTAACAGTGCCTGTTGTAAGAAAGATGCAACGATGGATTAATGAATCTTCAATGGAGGGATGCAGAGAAATACCAAAGGAAACAAGTGGGAAGAGATTCACCTTTCCCTTTATACAAAGAGCCTGCATTTACAGCTGAGTATTTACAGTTAACCAATGAGTTAGAATTAAGAGGACACCATTTATTTAGCCAAACTACTGAAAATATTAATTTTTAAGAGTATTCCAGCTTTTCTTCTATTTAAAATCAGTGCACAAGACATTTGTGCTGACATTTTGGGGCCAGATTAGCCCAAATTTAGCATGAAAGTGTGAGGATTATAAGTCAAGCAGCCTTTCTGGGGATCATCCTGCTGACAGTCCCTCTTGAACTACCTACTGTCATAACTCTGTTTGCATCCCATACCAGCAATGTTATGCTAATAATATAGCCCAGGGAAATGATAGGAACAGTCCAAGGAGGTTATCATGTGGACAGCCTTCTTCTTCATGTTTGACCAACACTCTAGAATTGCAATTCTATTGCAATGTTCTATTGAACTGTAAGTAACAGCTTCACATTTTGATTATTTTGTTTGTATGTTTGTTTGCTCTTGTATGTGGGCAACACTAGGAAGCCTGCAAAATTATTTAGGTAAGATTGAAAATAGGAATGATGAGTCTTTATCTTACATGGATAAAATTACTAAAGTAAAGTCACTAAAAATATGATTCTGATCTGAGCTGTGCTTGCCACACGTTCCTAAGATTTTCTGCAAAAGAAAATAATTTTGGAGATCCAAAATATTAGCTTCCTTTGGCAGCTTTTTTGCCAATGCCAGAACGCAATCCCACATGAATCAGACTGTTAGCTGGACATATCTAAAGTCCTAATTTTAAAGAAATTCCTCCTAGTCTTTTGTCAGAAGAGAATTGAAAACGGTGAGTTGTTTTATAAATTGCCCATTTGCCAGTGTCAGAAGGAACAAACCACTGACTCTCCTGCCCCCTTACACAGCATGTGCAGAGAACTGGGAAAAACAGAACTGCTAAGCAATCACAAATGGAACAGCCTCATTTACTGGAGCTGTTACAGTTTGGATAAATGACAGTGTGAGTGCAGGCCAGATCTACACTCTGAATGTTCTGTCTGAACAGTCACATCAGTGTTGCCACAGAGAAATAACACCTACACAGCCCATCCAAAACAAAGGCAGTATCTTCTTCCCAGTTACTTGTTCCTCAGTAGGGGCTCTCAGACAGCCACACTCATCACTAGTTTATTTCTGAACTCAGAACCCCTTCAGCTGGGCAGGGAGTGAGATGAGATGTCAAAAGCATTATTCCAGGAGAAAGCATATCCATACTTTGTGCTGCAATGTCTGTACTTTACTTGATAATTTTCCTAATATCATCACTGGTGAGGAGCCACTCAGTACCTGAGGAGGCCAGCCTTGCTGGGTAGCAGTTATTCTTTTAAGTTTCCATCCGTGGTGGTTGCACCTTCAGTTTAAAATGACTGCAAATAAACTGTGCAGACAGCTTACTAAAGTACCTGATAAACCTTATGAAACCATACTGCAGAAATTTATGGAAAATGAGGGGCCTATTTAAAAGAAAAACAATATTTCTGAGACTGATCTGAGGCTGAACAGCTGATGAAACAGTTTGGAAGATCAGATTATGATTAGAACAGAGGATAAAAGATCTTGCAGAAAGCCTTGCAGAAAATTAGCCCTTGACAGAACTATCTGAATTTTCCAGTAAAGGAAATTGATCAGGCTGGAATGAAACTCATGGGTCAAAAGCAAATCACACTGAGTGAGTCACTGAGGAAAACAGACAGCTAAATCTATCAGTAAGCTACTTTCCAGAAAGCAAATAGGATTGTTTGCACAAGATGGCCCAGCCAGTGTAGTCTCAGTGCTGAGCTTTTCGTAATGAGTGGTGACCCCGATGGTGTTTCAGGGAACTATTCCAAAGTCATATTTCTGAAACATCATTTAAAATATGTCTTTAATACTGTCACTGGTGCTTTCTAGAAAAATGGGACAGAGGATTTTGTCCCTCCAAATGGCAGGCACACGTTTCTGGGAGCAAGCCTGCAGGCTGTTTAGAGTGCTGAGAAGGTAGAGCTCCCTTACTTTCAAGTTCCTCAGCCTTGAGGGACCTATGGAGAAACATACAAACTTGTGTATTTCATCCTGTTTCAAACAAAAACAAAGTCTGAAGCAAAAACTGATCCACCACTCATCAGAACAGGATTATTGGCCACTGCCCAGTCATCCTTGCTGATATTTTTTACCAGGGAGCAGAAAATCAGGTTATTGAAAGCCTTGGAAATGTTCAGGTATAAGTCCTTAAATCTAAATATGATTTTTTCTATCACACATAGAATGGGATAATCTAACAGAACATCATGAAATAGACATAATTTCCCACCATCTGGATCATGTTTTCCAGCCTAAATCATCAAATATGCTACTTTATGAGGTTGCTCACCTCATCACAAGAAGCAAAATGTTTCCATCGGGGATATAAGCCAACTTGTCAGTGGAATATTTTTGCTACTACTATTATGTCACAATCCATATGAATATGAATTTTGGCCAAAGATAAATGCAGAAATAATTTAGATCAGTTTTTCCTGGCCTTGTCTATGCATCCTGCACATTGGACTTAAAGCGCAAAGAGACTTGAGGTTCCCTACGACGAGAAACACTGAACGTGAACTGCGACCCTTTTAAGGTAGGACCTACTTTTAAGTAGGCAGGAGCCGAGAAGCTTCTCAAACGGGCCGTGTACTTCTGCGATTCCACTGCTGCGTTTATGGCGGCCCTTTCGGTCCCTCACGCGGCCGGGCCGCGCCGCCGCCCTGTCCCTGGTGCTGACCGGGCCCCGCGGCCCCTCGGCACAGCCGCTCCGCTGCGGAGCCAGCGCGGGGCCGCCGGCCCGGGCCCTTCCCAGCCCGGGGAATTCCCGCTCCTGGGTAAATCCCAGGGGGCTCCGATGCCACGGGGTACCGCACGCGTTTCCTGCGGTTCAACGATTGGGAATAGGCTTTTTTTTTTTTTTTTTTTTTTTTTTAGATTTTTAACAAACTGATGAAGTAGTGTCTCTGTCATTGCACTGAGAAAACAGCTGACTTTCTTGCAGGCTACTTCGGGGAGCATAACATAAAAAGCCAAAAAAGCAAACCAAACAGAACTGTTGAATAGAGGGATGTATGGAGCGGGCTGCCTGGTCCATGACAGCACTCAGCAGGACCATGTGAAGGCACCACAAGGCTCAAACTCTTAAATCATATCAGTATCCTGGTGGACAATTGTTCGTTCTGCATTTTGTGTCTTCCAAACCCTTTGTCTTCTCTCGGGACGTCGTTTTAACTTTTCCATTTAACTAAAACGACCATTGCTTAGCAGCACCAGTGAAATCAGTGGGGGAAAACAACCTCGCTTCCACTTTTCCTACGGGTCAGTGAATGAAACCACCGTTTTCACTCGTGTTCCGGCAGCGAGCGAAGGGGCTGAAGGCTGCGGGCTCCAAGCCCGCAATTCATTAAAGCACAAGGTTCAAGAGCTTTTGCTGAACTTGGGCAGGACAGCAGCTCCTCCCGGCCGCCCTCGCCGCCTTCCAGAGCGTTCCTGGTCCCACCCGCGGGCGCAGCCCCCCCCACCGCTCCCGCCGCCATTTCATCCCTCGCATCCTTCCCTGAGGGCTCAGACGCGGAACGCCCGCCCCCCGGGATACCTGCTGCCCCGGAGCTCGGCCGAACCGCTCCCCACAGCTCTGTGTAACCTTCCCGCTCTGCCACCGCGGCCCCGAGGTGATCTCGGCCCAAACTCGGATATTTACACACCGCCGGCAGCGGCTTCTCGCGGATCGGTCCCTGCGCCACCGCTTGAGGCAAATCCCCTCCCGCGGCGGCTCGCCCGCCCAGCGCCCCCTCGCGGCAGGACGGGGAGCGGCCGCCTCCCTCAGCGCGGCCCGGGCGCTTTAAAGGCTCCACCTGCGGGGCAGCGGCTCTTCCCTCGTCACGGGGCGGGAGGGTGCCTCAGCGCTTCCCTCGGCCCCGGTCGTGGCCGCCCCCTGGCTGCGGGGCCGATGTCCGTGGGTGCGGCAGCCGCGGCTCCCGTGGGGGCGGGACCGGGACCCACCCGGCGCGGCCCGGGCAGCGCTGCGCTGCCGGAGGTGGCGGGGGGCGGCCGCTCGGCCCGGAGGTACCGGTGAGCGAGACGCTGCGGTGCAAGGTGGGTCGCGCCGCGACTACAGCGTGTCTGTGGTGGAAAATTAAACCCCGGACAGCCCTTACTGGGAAGGCAGAAGTGAGCAGGCGAGGCTGAAGTGTAACTTTTGGGAGGCTGCTTAGTTATCTTGCACCCTTGTGGGTGCGTAGGCGCGCCGCTACATCAGCGTGCTGTGGTGATCCCTGAGGAATCTGCGATGGCCAAATGACACTGACGGCGCAGGATCCTTCTCCTAAAGCTCGTAGTGCGCTCCCCGCGCCGTGCCGCACCGCGGGCTCTCAGGAGGCAAAGCCTGCGCTCTCAGAGGTCCTGTGACCTCGATGCCAGAGCTCGGCCCCTGGTCTGTGTGGCGCTGACTGTGATGTGTTTGGATTTTATTTCGTTCTCTGTTTTCTCTTTCCTGAGGCCAAATAGTTAGGTTCCCTTGCAGCAAGGCGCAGATTCCACTAGTCACGGGATATTTCGTTCTCTGTTTCCTCTTTCCTGAGGCCAAATAGTCAGTTAGGTTCCCTTGCAGCAAGGCGCAGATTCCACTAGTCACGGGATTGCTGTAAACTTTCCTGATTTCAGCCCAGAGTAGGAGAACAACAATGAAAACTGAACAGCAACACATTTTGATTACGTGCTGTAGTGAGTGTCTTTAAAAACAATGACTGAAAAGCTGGTACAGACTTCTTTTTCTGCCTCAAGTACATATATTAGAAACAGAGCCCTGTGTTTTACTCCAGTTTGCTGCTATTGACTCATTTTCTCTCTTAAAGTGGGTAACCTAAGTGCTTCGTTATGTTTATAAGTGGGAAATTATTTAAACAACAGGTGCTTAGATGTTCTTTACCTTAAAAGAATAATTTATCTTATCACAGGAAGTGCCATAGAAGTCTTAAGTATTACGTGCTGTAGTGAGTGTTTTTAAAAACAATGACTGAAAAGCTGGTAAGATGAGAACGTACTAACATACGCCTAAATCTTTACAGTCTGGAAAGTTATCTTCCCCTTCCCTTTCATGGTGAATCTGTCTCTCCACAGGTTTCCAGTTTAATACAGTTACCAAAAAATCTTCATATCTTTAAAAGTTTAATTCTGACTAAAATGGGTTGTAGACCAAATCTTTTATGGTAATGAAAGGAGGTTGGTGTAGGGGAAAAAAAGGCCATGCAGCAGAGGAAAAAGGTGTGAAATACAGGCTGGATTTTTTCTTTTTTCTAGATAAAGATGAAAATAGTTATGGTGAAAGATCTAGAGGGAGGGGTAGATGACAAATTCGGTTAATTGGTAAAGAGATACTGGCAGCAGCAAACAGCCAAACAGGAAACATTAGAGCTGCATTTCTGCAGGCATTATATTATAGAGAAGGAAGATAATATTCTATCGTTATATTGCTCTAGCATATCTCCCCAGCATTATCAGCTTTTTCTGGAACCCACAAAGCACAGTCTTAGTAAAGTATTGACAAAGCAGAATGTGGTGAAGCCAAGTGTGATAGAAAATTTAGTGGCTTGAGAAAGATCAAGACTTAGGACAACTTGATAAAGGAGCTAAAATGATCTCAGAAATTGCAAGATCTGTGAGAATTGAAGGATTTTAAATCAATAGATGAAACAAAGATGAACATGGAAGTACAAGTAGGATTAGCTCAACTTAGTTCAGAGTTCAGCAGTGAAGGAAAGGAGGCTCACAGTGAGCTCTTTTGCAGAATAGTCTTACTTTGGAAGCAATATTGAACTTGTGGGGAAAAATGTCTTTGCTCTTGATAATTAATTTTATATTCAGTTGGCCACTGGCAAGGTAGGAATTCAGAGCTTTTTTTTTTTTTTTTCATGTCTAATATGTCAGTTTCAAATTCCTTAGCACTGCTTAACTAATATATAGTAAATGTGTACTATTTCCTCCTGTGGATGACAATGAAGATCATTCCCAAAATACAGCTGTTGATTTCATATGAAATGTACTTAGCATTGGATTGATTCAAAACTTTGAAAAACTCTAGGATTGCATATATTGAGCAACGGGTTCAAAGCTTGGGTTTTCTTTATGCATGTGTTTAGTGAGTAGTTTCTTCAAAGGCTCCATTCACCTCACTTTCCCACTTTTCTGAAGGATTGTAGGTAATTGTACTGAGGACAGTGCAGGAATCCATGGGCACAAAAAAGGTGTGTTTGTCATACAGCTGAATGCTGCCTTCTTGTACTGCTGCTCCCTCAGGTGAGGGAGACTGAAAGAAAGACAATCTTTTTACCTGGTTGGTTTTTTTTTTGGTTTTTTTTTTTTTTTTTTGGTTGGTTTTTGGTTGGGTTTTTTTGTTTGTTTTATTGATTGGTGGTTTGGTTTTTTTTCCTAAGGGAAAGTCTATCCAACTTGTTGAACATCTTTCTATTAAAGAGGAAATGATAGTTTATTCATGCACGGCACAAATTTTTCACTTGCCTAAACATAAAATACTGGAACCATGACCTTGTGTGCATCTTTTTGTTTGCCAGAGATTCATAGTCTGTTAGCAGCTCAGAAGTCAAGCTCTCAAGCAATCCACTTCTGAAATCCTTGATGACCCAAATGATACAACCTTGTTGCTGCAGTAACAGCAATTCAAGTCTCCCTTGTGCCACAGGAGCTAAAATATAACCCCTGACTAATGTGCCCAGCTTTGTGAAGTAGTAGCAGCTTTAACAATTGGAATTTCCATTACTTGTTTCCTTCCACCTTAATTTAGCATTGACACTAGTGGCTTTTATTTCATTCACTTCATGGCTGTGCACTCCCGGGCACGCAGTCGTGGCTCTCCCAAAGCCAGTCCACTGTAACACGCACAGCATGGTCTCCTAGCACGTGTGAATTGTTTCCGCTGGTGTAACAGCTCTGCTGGGCTTGTGGAAGGACAGCTCTGCTCGGGCTCAGGGGCATTTGCTGAAGGTGGTGGCACTCTCCTGTGCCTGGTACCCATCCAGCTTCCTTGCAACTGTTCCCATCAGTCAGCTGGGAATAGCCTGGGGCAGGAGGGGGGCTGCCTGGGGAGCTCTGGAAAATCCTCTGATTTGATATGTGTAGAGAAAATGTCACCCTGAGCCTGGAATGTGTTTTTTGTTTAAATGTCACCCCTTACATCGGTGACCTCATCTGACTCAGCACTCAGCCTAGCTCCTCTCTGAAGGGAGGGAGCTTTGAACAAGTCGTGGATTTTGACATAGCCAGAGAATGTAGGGAAGAAGGCACACCATGAGAAACAAAATCTGAGCAAACAAAAAATTATTTTTGAAACAGACTAACAGGCAGTTATGTAAAGCAACTTAAAACCTAATCTAAACATCAGAAGCCTCTGAAATGCAAGGAAATTGACAGTTCTGTACACACAGTTTATTTCAGCCTCTGGTTTCCCAGAAGGTTTTGCTGAGGTTTGTGCTGGTAGCTATGGCAGCACTGTACCTGCTGCACTGATGTCTCACCTTTGAAAACAGGGCAGGGCTGAAACAGCCATCTGGGTGGATCACCAACTTTGTTATTTGGAGGCTGATTGTACTGAAAGTCTGTAGAAGGTGAGACCTGTGCTAAGGGTGTCCCTAACAAATGGACCTGTGACTGCAGCATGAGCTTCTGTAGCATTTTAGCTTCATTATTAGTAGCAGAGCTTTCTTCAGGCAGGCAGAGGGGATACAGACACTGGAAAGGCTTAGAGCAAGAAAACTCTGGAATATTCTTTATCTGAATTGTAACTGGTAGCGATAGTGCAGACGCATGAAAGAGCTGTGGTCCTGGTGTGTTGAAGGGAAATGTTGGCCAGGATGCTGGCATATCCTCTACACTTTCCTTTTAAAAATGCCAAGCTATGCTGAACATTTGTGCAGACATGGACAGAAACCAAAGGAGCAGGAACAAGTGACCTCAGTTTAACATTTCATTCAAATGACTGAGTCCCAAATGCGATGCCCGCTCTCGTTTCTTAGCTCGCCACTCAGCCTGAAGGATCTCTCAGATCCTTTCAGATGTCCTGATAAGAAAATAACATGTTAGAGATGTGGAAGTGGGACAGAAGCACAGTGTTTGATTAAACTAAGAAACATCTCTGTTTCTTAGTGCTTAGCTCTGTTCAGTTTGTTGTCTGGTTTTATTCTGTTCAGAGTTTTGCTTCCCCCCCTTTTCTGTTATTTACACAAATAACTGGAGATTTAGGTATGGGAAGGTAACATGCACAGAATTTTAAGTCCATAAAACTGTGGTCTTTCTTCTAATACTTATTTATGTGATACTGTCTTTAGTAGTGAAGCAATGACTTGTTATGTTTATCTTACTCCTGCTTTTATTCTGTTCTCCTGAACTCTTGAAATGGAGCCAAGAAAGGGCACTAAAAACAGCAGTGAATTCCTAGGAAAAAACCAGCAGTGAATTCCTAGGAAAAGTAAAAGTACAATGAGAATATACCTTCAAATAAAAAGCCAGTACTTGATAAACTGGCAGGCTAGGAAACTCTGCCATTTTAAGTCCAACAAGTCAGTTTTGCCTCTCCTCAAAGTAATCATCCAAACATCAGTGGTTCTGGACTCAGAGAGGACAGGTTATAAATGCTCTTAATGTAAATGTACCTTCGAGGTATTTGTGAGACATCAAACCCCTGCTTTATTCTCAAGCTGTATCTTGCTATTTGCTTTCATTTTGGATGGGGCCAGTT